CCTAATCATAGGCCTATTTAGGAAGTACATTTCCTTGGAAAGATAACTGTCCTGATCTCGCAGGTATGGCTACTGAACTGGAAGCAGCAAGAATGATGACAGCAACACTTGCTACGTTTTGCATAGTCCTATAGGATGTGGCCTACCTTTTAGGAGGAATGCCAAGAGTGTGCATAGCTGTCATCAAGGCAAAGTGTGGCTATTTGAAGAATCTCAAATATAAAATATATTTAGATTTGTTTAACACTTTTTTTGGTTACTACATGATTCCATATGTGTTATTTCATAGTTTTGATGTCTTCACTATTATTCTACAGTGTAAAAAATAGTTTAAAAAAATAAAGATAAACCCTTGAATGAGTAGGTGTGTCCAAACTTTTGACTGGTACTGTATTTACAAAAAAATATATGGGGGATTGGAAATGATGCAGACAATTACATTGATGGAAGCCACAATCTATCTGCAATATCAAAGCTGATCTACCTCAAAATTGTATTTATTTATTATTATATACAGTGAGGGATAAAAGTATTTGATCCCCTGCTGATTTTGTATGTTTGCCCACTGACAAAGAATGTCAAAAATGTTATAAATTGATTTGCATTTTAATGAGGGAAATAAGTATTTGAACCCCTTTCAATCAGAAAGATTTCTGGCTCCCAGGTGTCTTTTATACAGGTAACGAGCTGAGATTAGGAGCACACTCTTAAAGGAAGTGCTCCTAATCTCAGTTTGTTACCTGTATAAAAGACACCTGTCCACAGAAGCAATCAATCAATCAGATTACAAACTCTCCACCATGGCCAAGACCAAAGAGCTCTCCAAGGATGTCAGGGACAAGATTGTAGACCTACACAATGCTGGAATGGGCTACAAGACCATCGCCAAGCAGCTTGGTGAGAAGGTGGTGCGATTATTCGCAAATGAAAGAAACACAAAATAACTCCCTCGGCCTGGGGCTCCATGCAAGATCTCACCTCATGGAGTTGCAATGATCATGAGAATGGTGAGGAATCAGCCCAGAACTACACGGGAGGATCTTGTCAATGATCTCAAGGCAGCTGGGACCATAGTCACCAAGAAAACAATTGGTAACACACTACGCCGTGAAGGACTGAAATCCTGCAGCGCCCGCAAGGTCCCCCTGCTCAAGAAAGCACATATACAGGCCCGTCTGAAGTTTGCCAATGAACATCTGAATGATTCAGAGGAGAACTGGGTGAAAGTGTTGTGGTCAGATGAGACCAAAATCGAGCTCTTTGGCATCAACTCAACTCGCTGTGTTTGGAGGAGGAGGAATGCTGCCTATGACTCCAAGAACACCATCCCCACCGTCAAACATGGAGGTGGAAACATTATGCTTTGGGGGTGTTTTTCTGCTAAGGGGAGAGGACAACTTCACCGCATCAAAGGGACGATGGACGGGGCCATGTACCGTCAAATCTTGGGTGAGAATCTCCTTCCCTCAGCCAGGTCATTGAAAATGGGTAGTGGATGGGTATTCCAGCATGACAATGACCCAAAACACACGGCCAAGGCAACAAAGGAGTGGCTCAAGAAGAAGCACATTAAGGTCCTGGAGTGGCCTAGCCAGTCTCCAGACCTTAATCCCATAGAAAATCGGTGGAGGAGATCTGCAAAGAGGAGTGGGACAAAATCCCTCCTGAGATGTGTGCAAACCTGGTGGCCAACTACAAGAAACGTCTGACCTCTGTGATTGCCGACAAGGGTTTTGCCACTAAGTCATGTTTTGCAGAGGGGTCAAATACTTATTTCCCTCATTAAAATGCAAATCAATTGATAACATTTTTGACATGCGTTTTTCTGGATTTTGTTGTTGTTATTCTGTCTCTCACTGTTCAAATAAACCTACCATTAAAATTATAGACTGATCATGTCTTTGTCAGTGGGCAAACGTACAAAATCAGCAGGGGATCAAATACTTTTTTCCCTCACTGTATACACTACCGTTCAAAAGTTTGGGGTAACTTAGAAATGTCCTTGTTTTTGAAAGAAAAGCAATTTTTTTGTCCATTAAAATAACATCAAAATGGATCAGAAATACAGTGTAGACATTGTTAATGTTGTAAATGGCTATTGTAGCTGGAAATGGCTGATTTTTAAAGGAATATCTACATAGGCATACAGAGGCCCATTATCAGCAACCATCAGTCCTGTGTTCCAATGTCACGTTGTGTTTGCTAATCCAAGTTTATCATTTTAAAAGGCTAATTAATCATTAGAAAACCCTTTTGCAGTTATATTAGCACAGCTGAAAACTGTTGTGCTGATTAAATAAGCAATAAAACTGGCCTTCTTGAGACTAGTTGAGTATCTGGAGCATCAGCAATTGTGGGTTCGATTACAGGCTCAAAATGGCCAGAAGCAAATAACTTTCTTCTGAAACTCATCAGTCTATTCTTGTTCTGAGAAATGAAGGCTATTCCATGCAAAAAATTGCCAAGAAACTGAAGATCTCGTACAACGCTGTGTACTACTCCCTTCACAGAACAGCGCAAACTGGCTCTAACCAGAATAGAAAGAGGAGTGGGAGGCCCCGGTGCACAATTGAGCAAGAGGACAAATACAGTGGGGAGAACAAGTATTTGATACACTGCCGATTTTGCAGGTTTTCCTACTTACAAAGTATATAGAGGTCTGTAATCTTTATCATAGGTACACTTCAACTGTGAGAGACGGAATCTAAAACAAAACTCCAGAAAATCACATTGTATGATTTTTAAGTAATTAATTTGCATTTCATTGCATGACATAAGTATTTGATCACCTACCAACCAGTAAGAATTCCGGCTCTCACAGACCTGTTAGTTTTTCTTTAAGAAGCCCTCCTGTTCTCCACTCATTACCTGTATTAACTGCACCTGTTTGAACTCGTTACCTGTATAAAAGACACCTGTCCACACACTCAATCAAACAGACGCCAACCTCTCCACAATGGCCAAGACCAGAGAGCTGTGTAAGGACATCAGGGATATAATAATTGTAGACCTGCACAAGGCTGGGATGGGCTACAGGACAATAGGCAAGCAGCTTGGTGAGAAGGCAACAACTGTTGGCGCAATTATTAGAAAATTGAAGAAGTTCAAGATGATGGTCAATCACCCTTGGTCTGGGGTTCCATGCAAGATCCCACCTCGTGGGGCATCAATGATCATGAGGAAGGTGAGGGATCAGCCCAGAACTACACGGCAGGACCTGGTCAATGACCTGAAGAGAGCTGGGACCACAGTCTCAAATAAAACCATTAGTAACACAGTACGCCGTCATGGATTAAAATCCTGCAGCGCACGCAAGGTCCCCCTGCTCAAGCCAGCGCATGTCCAGGCCCGTCTGAAGTTTGCCAATGACCATCTGGATGATCCAGAGGAGGAATGGGAGAAGGTCATGTGGTCTGATGAGACAAAAATAGTGCTTTTTGGTCTAAACTCCACTCGCCGTGTTTGGAGAAAGAAGAAGGATGAGTACAACCCCAAGAACACCATCCCAACCGTGAAGCATGGAGGTGGAAACATCATTCTTTGGGGATGCTTTTCTGCAAAGGGGACAGGACGACTGCACCGTATTGAGGGGAGGATGGATGGGGCCATGTATCGCAAGATCTTTGCCAACAACCTCCTTCCCTCAGTAAGAGCATTGAAGATGGGTCGTGGCTGGGTCTTCCAGCATGACAACGACCTGAAACATACAGCCAGGGCAACTAAGGAGTGGCTCCGTAAGAAGCATCTCAAGGTCCTGGAGTGGCCTAGCCAGTCTCCAGACCTGAACCCAATAAAAAATCTTTGGAAGGAGCTGAAAGTCCGTATTGCCCAGCGACAGCCCCGAAACCTGAAGGATCTGGAGAAGGTCTGTATGGAGGAGTGGGCCAAAATCCCTGCTGCAGTGTGTGCAAACCTGGTCAAGACCTACAGGAAACGTATGATCCCTGTAATTGCAAACAAAGCTTTCTGTACCAAATATTAAGTTCTGCTTTTCTGATGTATCAAATACTTATGTCATGCAATAAAATGCAAATTAATTACTTAAAAATCATACAGGTACAGTTGAAGTGTACCTATGATAAAAATTACAGACCTCTACATGCTTTGTAAGTAGGAAAACCTGCAAAATCGGCAGTGTATCAAATACTTGTTCTCCCCACTGTACATTAGAGTGTCTAGTTTGAGAAACAGACGCCTCACAGGTCCTCAACTGGCAGCTTCATTAAATAGGACCCGCAAAACACCAGTCTCAACGTCAACATTGAAGAGGCGACTCCGGGATGCTGACCTTGTAGGCAAAAGTCTTGGGGGTGTGGTTTGATGTGGCAGTTACTGATGTTTGTCCCCCATGAGACACCATATGAACAAAGCCAGTATCACTTCCTAAAAATAGTCAGACTTTATGTAAGATAACTCAAGAAATCTGTTAGTAATTTTGATGTTTTTGCAGAGGAGGTTTTAGTCATGCAATTTTACATCTAGCTAAGGTGTTTGGTGCAGTATTTCTCAAGAACAAAATGTGTGCCATATTGTCTTACATAAACAAATCCAATCAGCTGTGCTGCTGGGCAGGTCTGTCTCACTGTCTGTGTGTTCTACCATACGATTGGATAGACATCAAACACCGTCAATGTTTGTCCCGTATTAGTGGGCAAGTGGGCATTGTAGAAATCAAAACCCAACCTTACATTTACATTTTAGTCATTTAGCAGACGCTCTTATCCAGAGCGACTTACAGTTAGTGAGTGCATATGTTATTTTTTGTTATTTTTTGTTATCTTACCTTCATGTAAGTCATGGAGAACTCTTGTACACAAAACTCTGTTTTGGACGATACTGACTTTATGACTGGAATAAATGTTTCTGACTAATAGTGATGTCACATGCCGTTTTCGACAAGAGAAGTTAGTTCTAGAGTTCAGTTCTGCTTTAAGGGCGCTGTGCAGGGATATTTGTAGTATTTCCATGTATCAAGGTAATGTAAGCAAATTGCAGGTACCCATCAGTTCCTCGTTGGGCAGCGATATGTAGTGGCAGAAGTCCTCTATTGCCTGCTTTGTTGGCGTCAGCATCCTGAGAAAGAAGAAGCTCCACAATGTCCTCATGGCCATTCTTAGCCGCTTCATACAGAGCTGTGGCCCCATCACTTGCCTCACTGTTGATATCAGCACCTACAACATATTCAGTGCAAATTACAGTTAGAAAAGTCAACAAAATATCCATAGTGAGAGCTCCATAACAGCTTTATGTGATCTTTGGCCGATCTTCAAGGCATTCCTAGTCGATCACAAAACATGTCTGTAAAAAACCCAACAATAAAGACCTGCGCTCCCTTTTATTTTTCCGCTGTTGGCAGTAGGTGACCTTGATTCAGAAGCCCTGCGCACTGGATAAGCAAAGTGTTCCCATTCTGAACCATTTTATTTGTCTGAAAATATCAACTCTGTCTACCTGGCGGACCGGGAGATCTGTGGCTAAACCGAGTGGACCTACTGTACTGGCCAATCGGATAGCTCAAATCACTGTGCTTACAAAGCGCTTCCACGACCCCTGCCACAGCAAAGTTTGATACTAGCTTACATAAGATTGAATAACTTTTAAAACCATGACCACAGAGAGACTGTCAAAGAATACAGCAAAGAGTTGCTGTTTTTACGAGTGAGTTAATGTTACATTTTTTATTCAGCACTGTCAACACTGTTTTTATTCATAACTATTACCAAACATAAAACACGCTGCAGCTGCAATGAATGAGTAGCCAAGTGTATCGATAGCCCTGCATTTTTATTATTATTAGCAGCATGTCGTGTCTCTTTTAATATCATGGAATATTTCACTTTCTCTGGTCATAGGAACAACATTAATTTGTGCATGAGGCAGATGCGGTGTGACTCGAGTTTTGCCATCTGGTGGAAGATGGTGTCCCCTCTCTTTGGTCAGTCTCACCGGAGGAAAGAAAGGAGAGAGAAGGGACAGTGAGAGGTGGACTCTCTGCTGCTCTCTCCCTCCCTCCCTCCCTCCCTCCGCTGAGACAAATGCTGTGAACTCAGAAATCTCTGACTTCTGACTTCAGTGCGTTCAAGACAACTGTGAAAAATCGTTTTGAACGGTCATCCAACTCGGAATTCCAAGTCGGAAACTCTGGCATCTTTCTAGACGTACGATCACTGACGTCATGATTTGACCTTGTTTTTTTTTTTTCCCGAGTTCCCAGTTGTCTTGAAAGCACAATTAACATCAGAAGCAGGTACCATCAGTCCAATAAAATAAAAAAGCTAATTATTTGGAAATTATTTCAATTTATGCTCAGCTGTGCCTTGCAAAGTGCTACACCAACTGATCTATTTAGTAATCAAACCTTGAGTTTTCAAATATAATATGGTCTGAGAAGAACAATATTGGCAGGCCAGGCATGTTGTAGCCAATATGCTGTGATTATGTACTAGGCCTACTGCACAAACCTCATTCTAACAGAATAACTGTTTTTATTAGGTTAATGTAAAAAAAAGAAATCATGTTTAAAAAATAATCTGAGTTTTGGATCTCGGCTTGCTTTTTGACTGCGAAAGTGATCTTGACTCAGAAAATGTTGGTGACTACTGACCTGCAGAGTTCACCCATTTTTCCAGGGGAAAGACGTACCGTGTTTAATGAGAAATCGAAGTGTTTCCACGTGTCCACTCTGGGCTGCAGTAAACAGGGGCGCGATACCATACATGTTGGTCGGGCTGAGTTTAGCCCCGGCCTGGACCAAGATCTCACAGATCTCCACGTTGTTGCGGCTCACAGCCTCCTGGAGAGCTGTACAGCCCTGAATGCAGTGTTTGTTCACCACAGCACCGTGATTCAGAAGCATGACCACAATCTCAGCATTACCACTTTCACAAGCTGTGGAAAACAGTCAAATATTAAGTTAAATGGAAGAAATCCCAGACTTTGTTAGTCATGGAAGACATTGTTTCCTAAACAAGTGTTTGGGGTATTCCCAGGGTACGCAAGACAGCTTGGCATGGTATTGGAAGAGACATTCTATAATGGCAGATTTTGAGTGTAGCTGTATTTCTCATATCAAGCCATCGCTGTCTCCCAATACCTTTCCTTTCTCATGAAGTGTGCACTTGTTCACTAGTACTCCCCACAAATGCAAAAGCATTAGATCCGTGTAGTCTTGGGCTGGAGAACCAGTAATTTTCTTTCTAATCCATGAAGGGCAAGTTTTTTTATCCAGTTTTTTTCTCACGGTGTGCTGATCTTGCTGCCCAACACATAATTTTACTATCAGTCAAGTAGCCTATGACTTACTACACTTAAAATAAAAGGATAATTACAAAGAGATCGGCAGATATTGTAGGTCTCTAAGGCAAATGTTACCTTTGTAGAGTGGGGTCTCTCTGTCCTTGTTGGCGAGGTCTGGATCAGCCCCTTTCTCCAGAAGCGTCTCTACACAGGCCACCTTTTCCCTGTACACCGCCAAGATGAGAGCAGTCTGGCCTTTCAGGTCACACTTGTTAATCATACTAGGTTGAGCTTGAAAAGTGAAAAGAAGAACACAGGAGATAAAAATTTGACTAGGCTATACTTTATTTTATACTTTATTTTAGTCTGCTACTTAGCTGGCTTTTACTTGGTATGGACTGCTATTGTGCTCAATTGTTCAATGCTTTGACGTGAGCCCAGAAATATCCATTGTTACCTGTGGCGGTCATGAAATTTCGTCAGATGGTGATTGTCAAGAAAATAACTGCCTTAACATAAACACATTTAGCATCTCCTGGCTTCCACGAATAGCCTACAACCACTGATGCAGACCTTTGGAACGTCTACATTTAAAAAAGTATAATAAATCCATGTAATATAGCCTACACCGTCACAATAAATCCATTATTTATTTTAGACAGGTCTAAATAAACATGATATGAAGAAAATGTAGTCTATTTCAGAAGAACAGAATAGCATACTGAGTTGTCCTTATGTTAGGCCCTGATCTGGCTATGCCATATGGCTGTGGGCTACATTAGTTCATTTAGCGGACAAGATTTGCTACGAATTCCGTGGCATTATTTTATATAATTTTATAGTATGAAGAATACAACTGAACATAGCTGAATAAAATAGAAAGGATATTTTCTCCAAACGATTTGAGGGAGTGCGCACATGCATCTATTCTGTGTTGAGCAGTTAACAACAGCAGGTACTCCTACAGTATATGCTTAATTTAGAGTTATTTATGTAACTTTAGTTGTGATACAAACGTTGGATATTTAATACATTCTAAGGCTGCATGATGCAACTCTAATGATGATTTCAAAAAAGTGACATGAAAGGCATGAGCTCTGCTTTGTTTTTTGTGCAGGCTGTACACACTTCATCAGTCTCTCATTCACAATTTGACAAGCACTTGATAATGCCTTGAATTTCCCAGCGGCATTCCATTTGTGTGGCCGTAATGCCCCCTAAAACAAATCCATGCCTTTTGTGGCCATTGTGCCCTTGGGCTGAATCTGATAATTATAATTCCCTTCTCCCGGCTGCATGCTCCAAAGCACCTCTCACTCAAATGGCTCTCTGTCACGTGATCTGGTCTTTCTCACAAGCTTCAAGTGAAGACAGACACATTGGGGACTCAACTGCATGCGTCCTTATCCAATTACGAGGCGCATATTGAAGATATTGGAAAAACTGTCCACATTTACTTTTCGTCAGCCAACAAGATGAGTAGACCTAACGAACAGCAAAAGCACTAGCCTATGTCAATCTACCATCCCCCATAGTACAAAAGTTGACCTATTCTGTGCGAGAAATAAATATTCCAAACATAGTCTGGGACAGTTGTGGGATGAGATAGATCCCAAATTAATACAACCACTAGCATCCCAAAAACGTTTTTAAGCAATGAGGCTGACACAACAGATCAGAATGTTTAGCTTAAAATGTTGATAAACTATTAGGCTATTTCTTCACATTATAAGCGCAGCAATGCACACATGGCAGTAGGCTATAAGCGTGAATGTTCCATTAGCTAGAAAACACCATACTCAAAAGTGACCGCAAATGTGATTATGCATGTAATGCTTTTATTATAAAGGTGCATTTTTATGGTGAAAATTATCTTCCCCAAACTTGAAACTCACGTGGTGTGTATGTATGCCAGTTAGGCTCTACACCTGTTGGAGAGCAGATTAATGTGCTTCATTTTAAGAAGTTATTTGGCCACTTTAGTTGTGATACAAACCTTATCAAAACATATAGGCCTACGGGCTAGAGTACATGAGGTGTGTGACTATTATTTGGAAAAGTTGCAAAAAAAGGCACTGTTTCTTGCCTTACTGCACACAAGCTGGGCATCATTCACAAGTGATAATATATCATTCACAAGTGATAGGCTAATATTGTCACCCATCAGACTATTCTTGATTTAATCTTTACATATAGTAAATAATATATGTGTGAAATTTGTTTTGATTTAGAATGGACCATTATCATGCACCTGTCTCGAAACAGGGGCAGTGGAAAAAAATAAATGTAATCCATATGCCCTTAAATAGCGAATGGAGGATGCTTTTCCCATGGGTCATTTTCATGCCAGCCAGGTAGGCTATACTCCTGTTTTAAAGAGAAGCAATGTGCTTAATATTAGGAAAGGATAAATAAATATAGTTGGCCTGGCCTGTTTTTAATAGAGGCCTTCACTCTGTTTTCTCACACAATTACATAGCCTATAGAAATGTTGCGCAACATAAGCTCATGGGCTGTCATGAAGTGTTTGATTACATTTGCATTGATGTCAGAGTGATTAGAGGGACAATAGAGTGCTGAGTACCAGACAGTTAGCAAGTTTGGTAGGCTACTAATGACCATCAGCAGCATCAGCGCTTGGAGAAACCTAATTTCAGTGACTAAACCGTCACGTGGAATTTGACTGCCATCATGACTCGTGACCGCTGGTGTGGTGGTAATAAGGTCACTGTAACAGTCCTAGTTACCACTACACACTTTCCCGGTAAATATCAGGTCAACAGGATGAAATGGGACTGTAAAATAATGTGATAAAAGTCTTACCAAAAAGGACAACAACAATGATCCCAAAAATTACTGTACTAATGTTAAACATTAACCTATCACTAGACATGAACATCTATGGAGTTTTGAATTGCACTTACCCCCAAGAAGAACCCTGACACACTGGTCTTGACCATAATATGCAGCCTCGTGCAGCGGGATCCATCCATACTTGTCAGGCCACAGTATGTTATTCCCAGTGTTTTTAGCCATAGCTCGTACTGTAGTCACATCACCATTCAGGATGGCTTTCACAATAGTGTCCTGTTCCCTAATAGGCAAACATACCCATCATCATCCACTTGCTTTTTTTCTCTAGCCCACATATACAAGACATTAAGCGGCAATCCAGATCATTCTCAAACTCAGTAACTCTGTCAGTGATTCCTTTTTTAATTTGGTAACTATGAGTTATGGATAGTGGATTAAAACAAAATACACACATCCTTAGTTAGGGTTTATGGTGTTGGAAAAACATTGGTTACCTTAAATGGGAATTCCACCACTTTAAAACTCATATGTATTATCTCCAGCACAATACCGGTGTCTACATTTGTGAAAATAGTGCTGTGGTTAAAAGATAAGATTTAAAAAAGTGCAATATAATGATGTCATCAAAACTAAAAACTTTTTTAAAAACAGTGAATTATAAACACTACTAGAATCGTGGTGACATGGTGAGCAGGAAAATGCCCTCCCCTGGCTAGAAACGTTTTGAAAATCAATGTTGTGCACTGTTGTTCAGTTGTAACTGCCATTTTGAGGACCTTTTCTTATCTTGAAAAGTGAAAAGTGGTGGAATTTCCCTTCAAACAGATCTTTCCCATTAGGTTTGTATCCTGTAAGGTGGAAAATTGCATACAATAAATGTCATCACATATTATACAAACATCATTGCATATCCTAAAGTGTTCATGTCTTGGTGTGAAGGGAAGATGTGTTGCTAAGATACCCTTTGTGAAAGAAGACACTTACTCCTCTGTCTCCGGCACGTACTGAATGGAGCCATCGCCTCTGTGCTATGCCAGCATGCGCTTTCCATTGCCTGTGACAAAATGAGTCGCCACAACGTCATCACATTTCCTTCTCTCTTCACATTTACTTCTCCTGCTACAAGAACAGTGATATATACTAATTTGACAGTCACAGCTGACTGCTGCAAATGTGAACGTGAAATTAACTAAACTAATACAGGACCCTAAGCTCATTGGATATTATGTGTTTCTTCAAAGTGAAATGTTTGATTCTCATTGCTGACATGCGTACTATGGAAAGCTCTGTATTAATCACTACAGTACACCCATCTAAAATACCTGTCCACGATCACAATTCTAGTTCATATCGGCACTTTAATGTTCCTCTGAAAGCTTTTTTTAGGGGTAGGCTTGAGACGTGAATATCCAACATGTACAGTTGCAGGGCACTAAAAAGTTTGTTTAATTTAAAAAACAACTGGTACCCTGTTACAGGTTTTTGTGACAAACTATCGTTAGGAGATGCTAGAGCACCGTGTTGCACAAGCACACGCAATGCAGCAATTGTCCTGCCAATACCGTAACATGACCTAGCTAACCTTATAAAGCCCTCAATCTTGCATCCAACTCAGCACAGAGACTTGTTTTCATCAGTGTTGCTATTTTTCAACCTTGGTGACGTGAACTTCAGACCATGCTACTTGGATCTATTCCCAAAATGCCTGTTGGGTAAGGGGCCAGTACCATGAGATGTGATGGGACAGGTGTTTGGCACGTGGCCCACTGGGAAGCAATCAAACCAGCCTGTAAACAAGGTGATTTATGTCAACAAACGATACTCTAGGCCTCTCAGTTTTCCAGCTAGCAGTAAGCGGGTAAATAGTTTAGTCACGTTAGCTAAGCAGATGTAAACACCTCACAAGTCAAGTCATTCATTTGAGAAAACAGTCACTCTCATGCATACCTGCAACCTACATATGATATCGAATGGCAAAACCCACAATGAACATAAGGTTATATAATTCGGGAAACATTTGCTTTGATGGAGATGTCTGTACAGTGACACATTTGACTGACTAGAGCACTATAATAATCAGAGAACACTTTCCTTGAACTTGCCTTGACTGGCAACACTTTATATTACTTTGTCCTTGTGCCATGTAGTGACTTGATAACTAACTACTTTGTAATGACCAGATAACTACTACTGTACACTGTAACTACAGATATGGTATGTAATAAGGACAGTTATCGTGCAACATGTAATTATGCCAAGAAATTAGAATTGTATGTAACTATCCATAGCCTACAACTTAATATAAATGTTGGACAAAACCCAAAGTGGATAAGGCTCTTTTCAGCTGGCACATACGCGTCAGTTGGGTTGGCAGTAGGCGGCCTATGGCTTGGTTCCTGCCTTGGTGGATTTGGTGGGTTCGGCCTGGTTGGAGGTGGATTTGCCCTATGCTGGACTGTTCTTCTGCCTAGAGCTGTTGGGGTGTTGCTGGCTTCACCCCGTGAAGCGGCATTGTGGGCATCACTGAGGCTGCGTTCGATAGCCAGCTGAATCAGCTCGTCATCTGACAGGTTGCTGTAGAGACTGTAGTCATCAAACCCAAGGGTGGGGCCCGGCGTGGAACCAGGGATGGACACGCTGGCAACTGCCATGTTGGATCTGGAGAGAAAAAGAGAGGATACAGTGTATCAGTTATGTATTATGCATTATGTCCACCATGTTGGATCTTGAGAGACCCATTCCTAACCAATATACACCAGGGGTGTCCAAGCCTGGTCTGGGAAGGTGCTGCATCGTCTTCAGTCTAGAGACCATGATTAAAGGGATAGTTCACCCAAATTACAAAATGAGATACTGGTCTTGATTGTTTAGCTAAATGAAGTTACTTTAAGATGATTTGGACATGACGTGCGAAAATGCTATTATCGGGGATATTGACTTGCATTGGTTTTGTGGCAGAAATCATTTGGAGACAGTGCCCAGGTATTTTTTTTTTTAAGTTAAAAGGTATTGCTTTCTTACCGTGTCCATTCTGCTTACAGTGTAGGGATATCAAATGTAATTTTGTAATTGGGGTGATCTTTCCCTTTAATTTGGACTGGAACACACTACATCATCCCCCTATGTAGGACACATATTACATAGGGTGGTTCCCAATACCCCTTTCTGCTGAAGGGGTATTGACCTGTTCACTACTTCCCACAAATCAAAAAGCATTGGATTGATGGAGACATGGTCTAGACTCTAGAGGGAGTTTCCACCATATTTCTTTCCACCAGGCATTTCCTTTCAAATCAGTGAAAGGAAGTGAACAAGTGCACACTTTGGGAGAAAGGAGAGATAATTGGGACGTAGTCAGAGACTACGGGATTGATTCATTTGAACCTGCAATGTGGCATTTATGTAGCAGCCCCACGGTCATCAAATTATTTACATTTACATTTACGTCATTTAGCAGACGCTCTTATCCAGAGCGACTTACAGTTAGTGAGTGCATACATTTTCATAATGGCCCCCCGTGGGAAACGAACCCACGAACCCACAACCCTGGCTTTGCAAGCGCCATGCTCTACCATGCTCTATAACTTAATTATAGAATGGTTTTGAGCAAAGTAAAGGAACGTATGTGTAAGTGGGCTGTTCAATTAAGGCGAACTCCCTCTTAAGACAAGCATGTCATGCAAATTGATTGATTTGAAGAAACATTTTATTGAATGGGTTTATTTAGGTTGGGTAATTCTGGGATTATGTTAGGATTGGATAATGAAATTATGATATGCTCCCCTTGAAAAAGTGTTCAAATGTTACATTCAAATCACTAAAGTGATTTGGAAATAACCAGGGGTTGGAACCGGTTCCGGGAACAGAACCGAAAACTGGAAAATAACTTCATTTTTCAAGGAACAGATTCAGAACCGCTAACGAAAGTGATCAATACTGTTCTGGAACATAACCGTTATTTTAAAAGTATGGGAACTGGTTAAAACTTAATTTTACGTTGCGGGCATTTTTTTCCAGTCCCACAAAAACACAACAAAGCGCCTATCCAAAGCCCTCACTCTATCACTCAGCAACGTATTCCTGTGTCTGCCTGCCTGCCAGAAAATCTTTGCCAGTGTGTGTGCATGTGTAGGCAACCTACCCCTCCCCCTCGGAAGACTAGTCTAGTAGCCTACTGATGTTACAAGTGTGATTCAGAAATTAGGGGGAGAGATTTTTAATTAGAGAAGAATGGATGAACCTTTTCAATACTACTTAAGGATACTATAGTTATCACATTTCCCATTGGATCTATTAACTAAAAAAAAAGGTAAGACGTTTTTATTTTAATTCTGGTGCCGCGCTGCATACTAGCTAGCTGGTCCAAAGTTAAGCCAACTTTCTGACATTCAAAGACATTCAAAGTTCCTTCATAAAATCCACTCCTCTGTAGGTATAATTCTATGGGCCTAATTCAGATGATGCATGTCATAACAACAAGATGCCCAGCACTTCAAACCAAGCCTCCTCCTCCACCCTCTCACGCTCTCTCCCCGCCCGCAAAATTTCAGTCGCATCTCGCGCCCTACACTCATCTGTCCAATGCCTGTAAATAGCTTGCCCGCTCCATAGCAAGCTTCTCTATCCGTACTGATTGGTGAAGTAATTGAATGTCGAACCCCAGTAATCATTCCAGGGTTTTTCTTTATTTTTACTATTTTCTACATTGTAGAATAATAGTGAAGACATCAAAACTATGAAATAACACATGGAATCATGTAGAAACCCAAAAAGTGCTAAACAAATCGAATAATATTTTATATTTGAGATTCTTCAATGTAGCCACCTTTTGCCTTGATGACAGCTTTGCACACTCTTGGCATTCTCTCAACCAGCTAGACCTGGAATGCTTTTCCAACAGTCTTGAAGGTGTTCCCACATATGCTGAGCACTTGTTGGCTGCTTCTCCTTCACTCTGCGATCCGACTCATCCCAAACCATCTCAATTGGGTTGAGATTGGGGGATTGTGGAGGCCAGGTCATCTGATGCAGCACTCCATCACTCTCCTTCTTGGTAAAATAGCCCTTACACAGCCTGGAGGTGTGTTGGGTCATTGTCCTGTTGAAAAACAAATGATAGTCCCAGTAAGCCTAAATCAGAAGGGATGACGTATCGCTGCAGAATGCTGTGGTAGCCATGCTGTTTAACTGTGCCTTGAATTCTAAATAAATCACAGACAGTGTCACCAGCAAAGCACCCCCACATCATAACACCTCCTCCTCCATGCTTTACGGTGGGAAATACACATGCAGAGATCATCCGTTCAACCACACCGCTTCTCACAAAGAGACGGCGGTTGGAACCAAAAATCTCCAATTTGGACTCCAGACCAAAGGACAAATTTCCACCGGTCTAATGTCTATTGCTCGTGTTTCTTGGCCCAAGCAGGCCTCTTCTTATTATTGGTGTCCTTTAGTAGTGGTCTTTTTGCAGCAATTCGACCATGAAGGCCTGATTCACGCAGTCTCCTCTGAACAGTTGATGTTGAGATGTGTCTGTTACATGAACTCTGTGAAACATTTATTTGGGCTGCAATTTCTGAGGCTGGTAACTCTAATGAACTTATCCTCTGCAGCAGAGGTAACTCTGGGTCTTCCATTCCTGTGGCGGTCCTCATGAGAGCCAGTTTCATCATAGCGCTTGATGGTTCTTGCGACTGCACTTGAAGAATCTTTCAAAGTTCTTTAAATGTTCCGTATTGACTGACCTTCATGTCTTAAAGTAATGATGGACTGTCATTTCTCTTTGCTTATTTGAGCTGTTCTTGCCATAATATGGACTTGGTCTTTTACCAAATAGGGCTAGCTTCTGTATACCCCCCATACCTTGTCACAACACAACTGATTGGCTCAAACGCATTAAGAAGGAAAGAAATTCCACAAATTAACTTTTAAGAAGGCACACCTGTTCATTGAAATGCATTCCATGTGACTACCTCATGAAGCTGGTTGAGAGAATGCCAAGAGTGTGCAAAGCTGTCATCAAGGCAAAGGGTGGCTATTTGAAGAATCTCAAATATAAAATATATATTCTGATTTGTTTAACACTTGTTTGGTTACTACATGATTCCATATGTGTTATTTCATAGTTTTGATGTCTTCACTATTATTCTAAAATGTAAAAAATAGTAAAAATAAAGAAAAACCCTTGAATGAGTAGGTTTGTCCAAACTTTTGACTGGTAGTGTAAATAAAAAGAAAAATGTTGTTCAGAGGTTTAAAAAGGAACAGAAAGTCCCCTGTAGCTCAGTTGGTAGAGCATGGCGCATGTAACGCCAGGGTTGTGGGATCCTGGTTAGAATCCAGGCTCTGTCGTAGCCAGCCGCGACCGGGAGACCCATGGGGCGGCGCACAATTGGCCCAGGGTAGGGGAGGGAATGGCCGGCCTGTAGCTCAGTTGGTAGAGCATGGCGTTTGCAACGCCAGGGTTGTGGGTTCGATTCCCACGGGGTGCCAGTATGAAAAATAAAAATATATTTAAAAAATAATGTATGCACTCACTAACTGTAAGTCGCTCTGGATAAGAGCGTCTGCTAAATGACTATAATGTAAAGGAACGATATAAACTGTAACTTTTTGAGGGGTTCAAACTGGTTCAGAACTTTATTTTGCTGGTCAGAACAGTGTAACGGAATGAAAAAGATAATGGTTCTGTTCAGAATTAAACGATTGCAAAATAACGTAGGTTCCAACCCATGCAGTGTATTACTTATAATTACATATGTAGGATCTTAATTTGATCATCCTGTTGCAGGAGAACTTTCCAGGAAATGTAAAACTTGTAGTGTATTTAAGGTTTAAAAATGCTTTTGAAGTTTGTAATTTCCAGTTTTACATTTCAGACTTGATTTTCCCTTACGAAAAATGTGTCAACACTAACAAACATCTCCATTAATTATAATCCACATTTCCTGTTGCTGTCGATTATTTTCCTGCTGTAGCAAACTGGCTCAAATTAAGATCATACATCCTGTATTCTAAAATGCTCATTACCACTGATCCATGTTGGAATTTGTTTTTACACAACAAAAACAAAAAAAGTGCACCAAGGTTGCCAAATAACAATGTCAATGAAAATATGTCTTACCTTTCTACCAAGCTCTTACAGTTTTCCAAAAGCAAAATAAGTATTGAAGTTTCCCTCTCTGGTTAAACTCCCCCACTAAGACTTCTCCACTCCTCTGTCAGTAGAGGTTTCTGAGACTGGGCTTCTGATCCAGCCGTCTGGAATATTTCTGGAGGCTTCACATGATATCGATAGGGTAGTGGGCCAACTTTTCCTCTCCCCCCTTCATAGCTCAGCATTCTCCTGAGGGGGAGCTGGCCTAGTTTTCTTAAGAGTGACAGATATCACAGAACAACAAAGCAAATAGCTGGAACTCTTGGGAGTAATAGCGAAGAATCTCAAAGCGTGGAATCCCAAAACATGAATCATACAATTTGTGCATATTACAATAGAGTGATGTTGACTGACTGTGTTCAATGGAAACTGTGAGTAGTCCCAAGTACAGTGTGTTCAGGCTTGTAGTCCTCCTGTGCTAGGTCAGACTCTTGCTGCATCTGGGTCAGGTTTTGTTGTGGCAAGTTGGTGTGCCTTGTTCCTTATGTTGAGTGGTCTGGTATTGTGTTGTGTTACAGTCAATGTAATGGAAAGAGGTGTTAATTGCGGATGCCTATTCGTTATTTTTAGACAAACAAATCCATGGAAAAAGGGTCAAGTTTAACGACAAGGTTAACTTCTTCCCGTTTTGTTGGCAGGTCAATCTGCATCATGTGTTTGTTTAATTTTGATCCTAGTACACTTTACATTTATTTTCGTATGAGGGAAAGGTCACAGATACCCCACAGGCTGGATTCCAGAATACCAGCCACTACAGTTACAGTCATGTTATCAGTCTTTTAATACCCTGTTGAGTATAGAGCTTAGGGGTTAGTTCAGTACTAACCTCAGTACTAAGGTTAGGGGTTAGTTCAGTACTCTCATAAGAATTTGTTGTGATGCAGAACAAGCAATGAAAGGCTGTTCACAATTTATAGTTTTACCTACTGTATCAAAGTGGAAATATAAGTGTGAAAATGTGTATGCCTATTCTGAACTTTATTTTGTAAATTACATCAAAATAGAAAACAGCTAACTTGTCAGTTGCTGTTCACTTGAGTAAACTTACTTCTCCAAGTAGATATTGGATTTAAAGTTCACTTAACTTAATGTAAAGTGACAAAACAAATCTTACATAAACGTTAATTCAACATGTTATGTCTGTAACCAACATTTGCTAAAGCAATAATCCTGTCACACTATTTAGATGGACAGTCTCAGAGTTTCTTCTTCGACTACTATAAAAATACTTTTGACCAGCTGAAGCAAGTCACACAATTTTTCTTCAGGAAAATTCCCCTTTCTAGTAGGGGTGTGCTGAGTACTCGGACAAAACGAGTATGAGAATTTTTCGAATACGATTACGATACGACTAATTTTTGTAATTATACTTGATCGGGATTAAGTAATTTTCAGATGCCAGCATGCATCTCTCTGTCACTAAAACTGTGCTGCGCTGTGCAATCTAAATAACTAAATTGGCTAGTTTGGCTGTCTGTAAAGAAATGGACGGGGTGAAGGTTGAGCCTCTTGCCACGATTGGATTAGAACAAGCATCGTTCTCCCTCCCTCCCTCCCTCTCTCCCTCTCATTCCCCCCAACGTCTTTGTCATTATGACCTGAGCTAAACCCATGCTAATTTTTACAGAGCGACAGATCAGTAAAAAATAAAATGACAAATATATGGGGCAAGCGAATGACCTAAATCTGTGTCTGGAATAGGCCTGAATGCAGGCAGCAGTAGCCAGCCATGCATTATTTGTTTGCCTATTTCATTGATAATCGAATAGGACTAAGTAAATCGTGCACTTTCAGCTGTAAGGATAATTTCTTGGATTTGAACAATGTGTGAATGAGTGAAGGAACATAGAGATGCGCTCTGAGACTTAATCGGAATTATAATGAGGGATAATGGTTGGCATCCATGTTTGAAAGTTTACTTTATAGAAAGTATAAATATGTGTATAAATTGTTATATGAGTTGGGTAAAAGGTCAAATTCGTTCTTTGCCTGGCTACCCATTCACAGCGCTCCGGCCAAACGCCACTGCCACACTAAAGTTTCTTCTCCACGATGAGTCCTCCCCGACGACTTCTCGAATGCGAACACATTCAAACCGTTAATATCAAAGATCCACCACCATATTTTTCTGCTTATCCATCCTTATTTCTATGCCAAACTTCCACTGTTGTGCGTGGTCAAAGCGCTCAATTTTCATGTAATCTGACCGTAGCAGCAGTTCCAATCCAAGTGCCAATGCCGTTATGCAAACTCCAGGCGTTTACATTTGTTGGATTACATGAAAATAGAGCATTCTGCATCATCATGATGATGTGGCCGGTGACACATTGCTTCTTGAAAGTCCAATATCTTGAAAACTTGACTGCTGACATGGAAAACATTTTGGGACCGTATCAACAGTGGACTAATGAAAATAATACCAAAATATAGTTTTTGAGTGTAGTTTGCCTTTAAAACTTTATTTATACAGTGTTTGGTTTTGGTTTCAGACAGTGTATGGCTCTGCTTCAAGCAAGCACTGATGATAGCATTAGCATTACATGAGTCATAATAAATCTGTCAATACATTTGCAATATCCATCAATCATTTGACTTTTTTGTTTACTTTTCCCCCCCACATAAAACACTGAAATAGTTCCACCCACCTGTGGCAACAGACCTTTGTACACAATGCAATACCGAAATCACTATATTCAATTATAAAACGGATAGTTCCGGCCAAACAATCTAATTGCCTAAGAAGCATTCCAAGCTGTGCTATTTTCTCTGATACAGGCAACTTCATTGTACTTTAGTGTAAAAAAAACTCACTCAGAGGGTAAACAATTAATTTAGTAGTCCATAAGAGTCCATTTTGCTTTTGCTAACCAAACCCAAGTACCTACAAGTACATACATTTACACATAATTTACAATAGATTCATTCAAATGTTACTCCTGCCATTGTAATATCAATTCAAGCCTATTATGCAGTACACAACTGTGCAAAGAAGCATTCCCCCTTCATCTCAACTGGCTTACAATATACAAAACAATCACATTTATTGGAAATGAGTCACAGAATCTGTGGATTTAAGAGTCAACAGAATTAAAATAAATTCCTAGATATCCTGTGAATTTCCCTTTTTATAGTTGAGGAACTTGATTATTCTTGGTGGGAGGGGCAGGGTGTCGATGTGCCTCAGTCTGGGGATTCCAACCTGCTGATGGATCTTCAGCCTGCACAACTGCATCAGTGAATGTGGTGGCACTGAAAGTGCAAAGAAGTTGCTTATTAACCCACATGAAAAAAAAAACTATAGTACTGTAGTATCCCAGCAAACGGGACCGTCTAAGGACATTCGGCAATGTTCCCATTAGGTCCCTTTAAGAGTTTTGGCAAGACGTTATCCCACTGACATTCTGAGAACGTTCTAGGAACATTAAAACATGACATTAACCTTGGGACGCTAAGAAGACGTTAAGTACAGGTTCCGGTATGGTCGCAGTATAACGTTATAATAAGGTATTTTTATGTCCATTAGGGAACGTTTCGAAAAGGTTCCTATTTGGTTCTGATAGGATGTTATCCATGGGACATTCAATGACTATAAGGGGACGTTTCATGATGGTCAAGGGGATGTCGCATGATGGTCCCAAGGGAACGTTCTATGGGGGACCTTTGTGTAGTTCCCTGAAAGTTACCAGGACATCACTAAGGACCATATCAGGACCTTTTCAGGACGTTCTCAGGATTTTAATTTTACTAGTCAATAGGATGTTGCATGATGGTCCAAAGGGAATGTTCTCTGGGGGACCTTTGTCTAGTTCCTTGTAAGTCACCAGGATATCGTTGAGGACCATGTTTGGACATTTGTAAGATGTTCTCAAGACATTTGTTTTACCAGTCGTCAGGACATCACGTGATGGTGTCCCAAACCACAAATAGTTAAAAAATATTTAATCAATGAAAATATGATTACATTTTAAATGATCAGTTAGTACTGACTTTTCAATATAACCCCACATGGGATTTGAACTCACAATCTCTGTATTGGGATACAGTGATATTTTTGCTACGCCTCAAAGTCTGTAGTATTTGCAGTCAGAAGTCACCTACACAGTCATCACCTACCATTAAAAATGAAAAACTGTATTTTAAGTGAGAAGTAGGCATTGGTCTGAAGCCGAAAAAGAAAGGAAATTCACATGAGCAACACAATACCTACTCCACCCATGCTCTACCAAGGTTTTCTAGCACACAGCTTCGACCTACTACTGTAGCTATGTTCGTCAATTGTACTTCAAACTATGTGTAGGCAGGTTTCTTAGGATTCAAACATCTCAAACAGCCCAATTCATACTCTTCAGAGGGATAATAGACTTTACAGTGTCCTGCTATTTAAATCCCCAAACTTCCGGTCTCCAGGCGGTAACGCTAACCATTACGCTGCTAACCCTGTAGTAACCATGTAATCAGTATTGATTTAACTTTTATTCCTCTTGCTTGTTTTTTTCTTCTTTTCCTTTAAAACAGTTAATGTGTTAAAAACGGTCTCATTTATAACTAACCAAGTTAGCAGTAAGGCATTTTCTTTTGACTGAGCACTAGGATAAGAGCGTCTGCTAAATGACCAAAAAAAAAGAAAAAAGGTAGCACAAGCAAGCAATGAGATCCCACTAAGTATTTACCGACGGTCAGTGCTATCTTGAATCCTTGGCACGTCCCTACCCTAAACCCTAACCTTAACCCCTACCCTTTCCCTAACCCTAACCCTAACCTTTCCCTAACCCTAGTTTTGTCATACCTGGACTACTATCCAGTTGTGTGGTCAGATGCGGCAAAGAAGGACATAGGCAAATTGCAGTTGGTCCAAAACAAAGCAGCACATATTGCACTTAGATGTACATGGAGGGTGAATGTCAATGACATGCATGTCAATCTCTCCTGGCTCAAAGTTGAGGAGAGATTGACTGCTTCACTATTGGTCTTTGTGCGAGGTGTTAATGTGTTGAAGGTACCGAACTGTCTGTTCAAGCAGTTGGCACACAGTTTGGACACTCATCAGTACAACACAAGACATGCAACCAGAGGTCTCTTCACAGTCCCCAGGTCCAGAACAGAGGCTGGGAAACACACAGTATTAAATAGAGTCATGACTAAATGGAACTCTCTGCCACCCCAGGTAACTCAAGCTAGCAATAAAAACAGATAAAAAAAAAACACAGAAAAGAACACCTTACCGCACGACAGGGACTGTGAAGAGACACAGACATTTTAAAGCATTTTGTATTGTATTTTGCATTATATTATGTATTGTATTATGTATGTGATACGTGGTTGGGATACGACTGTGATATGTGGATGTCTCGCCTGGCTATCGTAAGATGAATGCACTAGCTGTGGGCTGCTCTGGATGGAAGCGTCTGCTGAATGGCTAAATTGTAACATAAACGTAGTTCTATGTACACTGAGTGTACAAAGCATTAGAAACACATTCCTAATATTGAGTTGCACCCCGTTTGCCCTCAGAACAGCCTCAATTCTTCGGGGCATGGACTCTACAAGGTGTCGAAAGCATCCCACAGGGATGCTGGCCCATGTTGACTCCAATGCTTCCCACAGTTGTGTCAAGTTGGCTGGATGTCCTTTGGGTGGTGGACCATTCTTGATACATGCGGGAAACTGTTGAGCATGAAAAACCCAGCAGCGTTGCAGTTCTTGACACACTCAAACCGGTGCGGCTGGTACCTACTACCGTACCCTGTTCAAAGACACTTAAATATTT